TGGATTACCTCCGGTTTTAGAATCTCCAAAATATTAGTTTTCAATTCACTAACAATTCAGCTTGTGATACTTAGTCCCCCACAGAAAGCATAATTCCGATTGACTGGCACTACACTATAAGGTACGTGTAGTTCGTCAGCCTGTCTGGTTTCATACCTGTATAAATTTCTATTAGTTAAAAAAATTCTTTGTGTTTGTAAGTATTATTAAGAAGTACATTGTCAAAACTAATCTCTAGGGCTTAACGTTCTGTTGCTTGTAATAAAATCTACGTACCTCAGTCTCATTAGCATTAAAAAATAAAGACCATTTAAAAAACTTGACATATTTTGGGCAACGATGGAGATCTCGCTGTTTAGATGATCCATACTTTTAGCTAAAATTATAGCCGATAATCATCTGCAAAGCTACATGATTATCACCTATTAATGAGTCAACATTGTTCACATACAGTATGAACAATATGGGTCCCAATATTGAACCCCGAGTAACTCCCATATTAATATCTAGTGGATCAAAATTAATAGTATTGATTTTGGTGTTGTTTTGTACTTTAAAAGAAATATATTACTTCCTGGCACATAAAAAGGTTGAGATCCAATTTAAAACATTGTCTCTGGTCTACGCCTATGGCATGCCGTCTACGAACGCTTAATTTCAAGAGTTCTTGAAGTGACACTTAAATATTTAATATAATTTTGAGACACGCTTGACAATAAATTTGTCAAAAGAGAAAAAGCACGATCCTTTGTATCATCAAGTTATACCTGAGGTTATTGTAAGAAGGATCATTCCATATATACGTGCGAATCTTTTCTTAAGTTATCAGTTTCCGATAGATTCAATTTTATAGGCAAATTTAATTTACGCAAAAATTGCCTACGAGAAGGGCATCCCATTTCTAAATGCCGAGCAGGGTCATGTAAAAAATGTAACTCTAGATATAATACTTTATTGCACAAAGTTCAATCAAAATCAAGTCAATCTGACACAGAGTCGACTCAAGAGCAAACTGATCAGACTTCTGTAATGCTATTGGATAGTTGTGTGTCAATTTCTACTAATTTACAAGTTCTTTTGTCGACTGTTATTATTTTGGTGAAAGATTGACTTGGTAAATATCAAAAGACTGCGCTAGACTGCGGATCTCAAACATCGTGCATTTCTGAAAAGGCTTCAAATAGGTTAGGTCTCCTAAAGAAAAACGCAAATTTAACGCTTTTTGGTATAACTTGCAATATAAATAAAGTCAATAAAAAATGCTACATATAAATAGCATCTGCTAATTCTGATTTTATTGCGAATATTACTTGCTTTATTTTGCCCTAAAATAACTAGTGACATGCCAACATTTACAATAACTTTAAACAAACTCAACATTCCCGATGAATTATCCTTAGCTGATCTACAATTAAATACTTTCGCACTCATTGATATGCTATTAGGTGCCGATATATTTTGGAAAATATTAAAGTCAGAAAATATTAGCTTAGGGAAATATCTTCCAACTATACAAAATTCTGAATTAGGTTGGCTAGTTTCAAGACCAGTAGGATATCATAAGCAAAAACGAGCTATTTGTAACCTTTCTACAGTCGATAAAGATTTATCCAATATTTTATCAAAATTTTGGAAGCTAGAATAATTACCTCCATCTAAATTGAAAATAAATAAGAAAAAATCTTCTTCAATACAACTAAACTCAAAGGACAAATTATAGGTTTAAACATGAGTCTATACTTAGGGGCGATTGAAACATTCTTACTATCCCTTCAATAAAAAACATCCAATATTACTAGAATCTATACATCATTTTACAAAGCTATTATTTCAATTTAAGCATGATGAGTTGCTACATCCAAGAAATATATTACTTCCTGGCACATAAAAAGGTTGAGTTCCAATTTAAAACATTGTCGCTGTGTCTACGCCTATGCCGTCTAAGAACGCTTGATTTCAGGAGTTTTTGAAGTGACAATTAAATAATTAAAACAATTTTTTTTTATATTCACGTTGTAGTTATTCTTACAATAATTACAGTCCACAGTCAATAATCAACACTCATATTTCTTCAATATATTTAATAGCAACTCACGGTTTACACAATCGAATGCTTTACTAAGCATTCAAATTCTTCTAAATTGTGAATAAGTTCATTATAAAATGAAAGCATATCAGTTGTTTTTAATTTTTTAGCACATAATCCTTGCCGATTTCCTGTTATAATGTTGTACCTTTTCAGGAAAGATAGATAACGATCAAAAAAGTCCTATACAAAGATTTAAGACCGCCTACAGGGAATAGCAAGAGGTATATACTTTTCTATTTGTCTACGCTCATTTTTCTTGTGCAATGGTAAAGCTTGTGGAAAATTGCCCACCTCAAATGATAAAATTATTAAATATTTTGAAGGTTAAGAGAGAACATCTAATACTTGTTTTAGTACAAAACATGACACGTCATCGGCACCAGAAGATCTTTTATTTTTATTTTTCTTAAGTAATAAATTTAATAATTATATGTGCAAAAATGGAGTTTGGAAGAAAGAATCTTTAGTTGATGTTATGCAATGTTACTAGTAGACTGTGTTAGTATTTTGTCGATCAAATTACCAGAAGCCTATTTAAAAAAACTATTAAACTCTGCAGCTATCTCATTCAGTAAGATTCCGTCCTTTCCTATTACAATAGTTTGGACAAAACTTTGCCTATTCGCAGGGTCCGCATGTGACACAAAGAATGGCAAAAACTTAAAAAAAGTACTTTTTTTTAATTCAGCAACCGTTTTTTTCTTGCTTTACGCATTAGGTTACAAACCTTGATCATAACTATACAGTTTAACAAAAAAAAAATATTTACTCAATTTTCGATCATCTTTAGGGTCCGCATAAGAGAAAAAAGATAGGATATAATTTAAAAAAACTTTTAATCCAAAATTATCTTAGATCAAACACCGATCTGTCACAACTTGTCCCATTAAGATGTGATGAAACTGTGATAAATACCGGCACGAAGGGAAGGATATTAAGACTGATTGAGTTAAACCTAAAACGACACTTGCATTGGTTCATTTGCCAACTCCATGGAAAATAACCTTCCCTTTGACTTGTAATTAATTAATTAAGATGATAAAATAACAGGACCAAAAAATCTTTTTAGTTCTATTGGTATTTTGTTGCAAACTAATATATACAGTGAGCATCTAACTCGTTACTCGAGTCTTGTTAGGAAAATCGCCGAGACACGTAGATTTTTGATTTCTACAACGTACGTTTTTATATAAATAGTTACCCTTAATTGCATTCCTTACTGGAGGGGAGCAACCCTTTTGAAAAATTTAAATGGCATGGGGTGGTGAGTGATAGCTCATTTGAAAGGGCGTTTTAATCTCTATTCAACCATGCAAAAATTGAAATTTGCTTCATTAATTCTCGACTAATTATTGTTTCAGAATAAGGGAAATTAACGTAGCGCACTCATCCTTAGAATTAAAATTCGGCCGTGCATGATATCGGTTTTGGTTCAAACGTGAAGTTAGACTTAGATAAGGTCCCTGTTAGTTTAGTTGCTTTCATATTTGGGTTGTTTGGTTATTTTTAAACATTAATAAATCTACATGTAATGAAGCAAATTTCAATTTTTTTTTCACGGTTGAATAGAGAATAAAACTCCTTTTCAAATGAGTTATCACTCATCACCCCATGCCATTTAAATTTTTCAAAAGGGTGACTCCCCTTCAGTAAGGGATGAAATTAAGGGTAAACTATTCACACAAAAATGTACATTGTAGAAATCAAAAATCGACGTGTCGACCGTTACTTCTTTGATGAGAGTCAGCAATAGGGTGATGGATTTTTTAATGAGTTTGGGACCATCCATAATAAAAATGCAAAACAACGAAGAAGAGAAGGAGCGTATGGCTTCTGAATTTAGAACTGTAAGTACATTAAGAATACCATATGTATTATATTACTTTTTATTTCAATAATGCTGTATAAATAAAAATGGTTCCTTTCATTGAGTTTCTCGATTTTAACATTCCTACTGTTCTTTGACTAGTGTAATATATAAAGATCTGTTTGATTTCGATAGAAAATTCCCACAACATTGATTTCTTTTGTAAATATCTGGATTTCCAGGCGTGTTAGGTTGCATAGATGGATCATCAATAAAAATTAAGACAACAGCTTATAAATTAAGAACAACATATTCCAATAGACATGACATTCTATCTATTAACCTGCAGGCTATTTGATTTGTTTACTGGAATTCCGGGTAAAATACAGAGACGAGAGTATTAAAATTGTCCACCTTTTAGGGTACAATGGGTATCCTATTAAAACATGGTTGCTTGTACCATACAAGAATTATGGCAGACTCACCCAGACAGAGGTTGTATTTAATAAGAAGTTAAGTGCCACAAGAGTTCTTATAGAGAATAGTTTTGGAATTTTAAAAGGAAGATTCAGGCAACTATTGCAATTGGATATACATTCTGTATCAAAAATGACAAAATTGATCATTTCTTGTTGCATTTTGTACAACTTTTGCATTGATTGCAATGACATAATAGATATAGAAGAAGTAGATGACCCCGAAGACTGTGTACCACCACCAGTTGAGGAAACAGATTTAGTGTTAAAAGAAAGAGGAGAAATAGGTTAAGAGATTACCTAAATTATTTGTAAAATTAAATTTTCTTTACGTTATTTTTTAATCTAAGTCTTTTAGGAAAATTGTTTTAAAAATAAAAACTCACTATTATCATAGAACATTTATTGTAAAAATAAAAAATATAATTCCTAAAAAATTGTTGAAACAATAAGTAAGAAAAGAAAACCATAAATAAATATTAATAAACAAATCAATTCTCTCATACAGTGTGGCACAAAGTAATTACACCTATATGTAGAGGCTTAAAAATTAGTTAATTTCAGCTATGCAAGGGTGGAAACCTGGTAAGTAGCACTGTTTTGATGATGAACATAGTACCTTAACCATTTATTTATTGCTAGAAAATATTTCTCTGAATAAGTCCAATTTTTTCTTGTGACATCTTTCTCTTGAATTCTCCTTTTCTTTATGGATCTCTTTTAGAGTGTCTTTACAAGTTTTTCTCTTTTTAGATGTGCCAGAAGTACTAGGAATAGCTGATGGACCAGCAGTAGAATTAGTTTGGGTAGGTTTTAAACTTTTTATGCCTTTTGCACTTCCCAGTACGTCTGTCTGGATGCTATCATCAAAAGAGGCAATTTTATTAAGTTCATCTTCAAATGGAACATCCATCCTTGAAGACCCAGATCTACTGTTGTGTTCCACAGCTTCTTTTTTTCTTTTCAAAACCATCTTGTAGCGATTTTGAACTTGAACACTATAGCGATTAATTTTAAAATAACTATTTAGCTCTGTTGCTATTTGGTCCCACATATTTTTTTTATTTTTGAATTTTTTCATGGGTCCTACTCTACTAACATACTTTTTATATAAATCGAGGGCCATTTTTGTTTCCTCTTCTGTCCATTCTAGAATAACACTTAGTTTAATATATGTTACCAAGTAATTCTGGAACATCTCTCAGTAAGTACTTACCAGCTTTTTTCGGTTCATTTTCGTCATTTGGCTGTTCCGGTTTATGTATATTAGAATATATTAGAATTTCTCTTATTTATTGATCTGAAAATATATTGGCTTGCAAAATCATCGTTACCTATAATGGAAATATCTAGATATACAGAAAATGACGACAAAGAAAACTTACTTTGTAAATATAAAATGGTCTCTTCATCGTTAATTGGTATATTTAAGGTAAACAGCTCCTCATTAATCTTAAAAGTTATTGCTTCTTCGATTATTTGTGGTGCAAAATTACATAATCTGTGCGGTTTACACAACCAAAAAAGTTGAAGGTGAAAGATAAATGATAAACATATGACTGACAGTATTGACACATGACATTTCTAGTCGGTGCATGTGGTTGTTCCATTGACTTTGCACTTTGTGCAATTTTTTAATGAACCGGGAGCACACCGGTTCAGTTGATAGATGTACTCAGTGCATGCCAATGGTAAACGCTATTAATAAAGCTTTATAGATATTTGAATGAATCTGTAGGAGAAAAAATCGATGCTACTATCAGAAATGCTAATTTTGGCCATCCAGAAAACGTCCTTCTCGGCATGTTTAAAGATTTACGACCTTATATAAGAGAATTTGCCTTCCGTCGAATTTTAAGAGGTATAGAGTATGAAAAGTAATATGACAATAAACCCAGGACCGTCAAAATACCTAAAATTAAATTTGAAGCACAACTATATTAATATTATTGACTGGCAAAATACTAAAGACATTAACCCTCCTGCATTATTCGAGTATTCAGAAGATGAGCTCATTAATTTCATTGGAATAGGTGGCATACCAGATATTTTAGAATTTTTTTGCCACACCCAAATAGTTAAATGACATATAAAGCTTGTAACCGACGCTTTATCTTCTGTATGTAGAGAGTCTAGACGAGATGGATATAATCGTTCTCAGATAGTCTCAAAAAAAAAACACCCAAATTTGAAACAAAAAACAATTTAATTTGTAAACACTGTACTACAGTCGTTGGAAGGTTGGGTGACGTAGGGTTGAGCTCGGTTTGCGGTCACCACGTGCTGAGCCCTGGGTTAATAATTTTTGTGGTATTAGGTCATTTTTTCCACATCATTATATTACTCAAATTAGCGAGGAATCTCTAGACAGTGTAATAAATTTATTTTAATAAAATAGGTTTGTACTAATTTTATTACTAAAAAATCATGATTTTCACTTGGTCTGCGGAACCTCTAAACCTTTTTTAGAAGCTGTAACGGTTGGAACCGTTATTCATTATTTTGACACAATCACCTCTTAAATGTCATTTGTCGTTTTCTTCTTCCTTGATTCGTCTTGTGAGAATTATTTTTGACAACAATGGTTTTCATCTGTGTACTAATATAACAAGCTAATGTACATTTAAATTAAAATAATTGATGATATTTTGACAATTTATTATTATGTAACAAAAACGCGAATATTGCCCTGCAAACCCTCTAAATATTATTTTATTTCATTAAAAAATTAATATTTGCTTTCTACATAATAAGATAAGACACAGCTTTTTCACACTAATGCGATTTTAAATTAAAAGAAAAAAAAATTGGATTTTTATACATTGTAGATAGAAAATAAGGTACTACGTCCATACTATAGAGGTATATTTTGCTTTGATTTAAAATGGCTAAACAATCAAACTATACTAACTGAGAAGTAATTTAGGAGTACGGAATACTAGATGGACGTTTATGTTTTGTTATACAATTTCCCGATATTCTATAATCTTTATATAGGTTATCTTACGAGATATCAAAATATTTTGTATAGGAAGATATTTGTAATTTAAAAATATCTATTATAAACTTGGGCGGTAATATTGAGTTAGGTAATCAATGTCAGAAAAACCTAGAAATTAATTTAATAAACGATTTAATAACTTTAAATTGAAAGGTAAAATTAAGAACAAAATAAAATTAGTTAGAAATAAGTATTAAATGATTAAAAACAATAAAACGTAAATAAAATAATAGTAAAATAAAATAGATAAAATACCTTATTAATTCACGTATGAGATGGCGTACCTGAAACAAAAGAAAAACAAGTATGAGCAATCAAGTTTACCAAAAGCAGTTTTATATTAAAGAAAGTCATGAAAAGGTGATATCCATAAACAAAATACTTGTTATCCTTTTAATTAACAAGAAAATTATACTGATAACTCTTTATGTCAAAATATTAATTATAAAAAAAAATAATTGACACAACTTTAAATTTTCCATAATTGACAAAAATTTATATTCTCAATTCTGTTCGCACTGACCGCAATGCTCAAACATCGATCGATATATAAAAAAAGCCATTACTAGCACACTGACCGCAATGTCACTAGCCCGCACCAACCATGGTGCGACGACTCTGGAAAACTGACCACAGTAATCTCAAAATAAACGCATACACTGACCGCAATTTTCTACGCCAGAACAGACAATCTAACTCACTTTACTTTTGATAACACCTCGTAGAGGAAAACAAAATATAAGTAAATAGTCAAATTCAAATAAGTTTTAATTATTTAATATAACCCCGTTAATTTGGGATATAAGGTTATCTCAATACTTGACAAAATATCTTTATGTCAGAATAGATAAATTAACTATAACAGGTTGATGGATAATAATTGGGTAATATAATTTGCAAAATAACTTGTTTACAAATTAAAACAAAACTAATTGATAAAACATAATTACTCAGTGAGAAAAACTCATCCAGCAAACAGCCACTCACAAAAATTATAATTATTCACTAGTTTATTATTATTGGAACGAACTTTAATTTTGTTTAGCAAAGCAACTAACCCAAATTTAAAATGATCTGTATTTTATGCCTACTTGACATTTTACCCTTATTTTCCATATTCGTAATCCCATACCTCCGTATCTTAATAGTGTTAACATAAATATAGGCTGGAACTGATTTGGGGACAAATATTTTGTGCGTTTAAAAACCGGGTGTTTCGTAAAATAAAACTTATTAAAATTGTATAGAAAATAAAATGATTCTTACATTTGTTTATTAGAAACTTAACATTTAAAATCATTCATGTATATAAAAGTATTATTCAACTGTATTTTGAATTGCAGATGTTCAATATTTTTGCTAAACTAATAATATTTCATCACTACAAAAGCTAGAAAATATAATAAATACATACAAATTAAGCTAACTTCTGGTACTGCAAAAACAAAATTACCATTTTTGAGTTAAGTACACTTTCGTCTTTGAAATAGTTCAAATATTATACGGCATAAACAAGTGTGAACCAAGTCTATATTCATAACAAACAGATGGTCAAAAAAAATAACTCCATATTAATACATTCACAAAATGTACAAACAAGATGACTAATATTTATACCGAAACATATTTATAACATTTTATTTAATTGCTAATAGTGTGCGTACCAAAACCAAATAAGGGGTCTATTCTGTAAACATTTCGTTAAGATTAACCATAGGTTATAAAAATGATTAGATGCTATATTTAGTTTTGTATCCTCCAAGTGATATTTCGTTAAAATTATAACTTAGATGTCAGTTATAAATCTATGTTAAAGTCTATACCTTATGGGTAAGGTATATCGTTGCCGTTAAAAATAACTGGAACAAAATTAATGAAAAGGGCTGCATTACAGTACATGGCTTTTATATATCACGTAAATTAGAGAGAAATACCTAGAAAGATAGTTATTTTGCCAGACTGCACACATCTAATAATAAAATTAGGGGCGGTTTAACATACCTGTTAATATCTATTTTTTTACACTCTGGCTGATCGCGTCTCTGTGGCACAGTATACCTAAGTATACTGTGTCTGTGGCATACTATGACGAAAGAGTCCAGACAAGCAAGAGGTATTCGCGAATGCTTGTAGCTAAAAAGAGAAAGCAACACGTCAACAGATCCGTGAAACTGCATAAAAAGACATTAATTAGCGCGCCGCACACAACCAAGGTGTGAAGTCACAAAATAGGGCAGGGCCTACGAACCTTGCCAAACCAGTGTTGCCAGCCTAATATAATTAACAATTGTACTAGTACATTCTCGAAGAATCTAGTACTCTAGGACACTCGAATCAAAATATAGTACTTTTTTTTTCTCGGCGTGTAGCAGTGTTCACGTGTAAAATATATATTGTGCTCTCTGTTTGTTTGTTCAAAGGCCCCAGTTTTTTGGTCTTTATTGAATTAGACGTCACTGCAAATAGAATTTAAAAAATCTGAATACTAATTCAATTTCAAACTTATCTAAAAATATGAGTTATCTTGTTTTTACAGTAACTCAACCAATGTTCTATTTAGCTATGGTACTCGTATAAAATTTTTATTTCTTAAACTCCCAAGAGAGTTGAACCAATTTATTACCTACAATAATAAAATTCACACTTTGGTCGTTATCGCCTTTGGTACGTCTTCAATGTGAACCTTTTAAGCTTTGATTTAATTTTAAAAAAATAGCCCGTTGTATCTTACCCAGTACTGCCATATGGATTTGGGTATTAAGGTTTTACATTTGTTAAAAATGAAAGGGATGATCTCATTGCTTTCCACTGCGACCCACATCGATCTATTGTGCCTCATATCTAACTTATTGTTTACCGTACAAGACACACCTTTTGATGAAGGCCATGATAAAATTGGGTGAGCCATCTTTAAAGTCTGGCGAATTCGCAGATATGGAACCTAGTTCTTTCCAAAGTGAAGCAGGTACATA